TCCTTTTACCTTTTAAAGCTGTTAGATAACACACAAAAGTATATTTTATCTGTTAATCACGGCTATTTATATGCTGTAGTATTGATGTTCATTTTGATCTACCTGCAAATAAGATGACTCAAAAGGTTACTCAAACATATCCAAGTGCTATAATCACAAGAAATATAATAATTATTTTTCTACTATTTATATAAGGTTAAGTCAAATTATTAAACAACATCTTTACTAATCAAAATTTGGAGGGGAAGAGAAATAAAATTTAATTAGGGGAAAAGTATTAAAGGCGTAAATCACAAGAAAGTATATAAAACAAAGTTTTGTATCTCGTTAGTATAACTACATTTTCGTATGAAAGAGAAGTAATGAAGAAAACAATTAGAAATCATAATCAAAAGTCTATATAAAAAATAATGCGATTAGAGAGAAGGGTCAACAGGGGTCTCTAAATCAGAATTGGGATCAGTGCCATGGAAATTACTATCACCTGTTGACCGGTACTGGTCACACACCTGTCGACCGGTACCGGTCACAGGGGGCTTGCGTCAGAAACATGTCATGATTGAGTCAACCGAAAATTCATAAGCAATTCATTGTGAAAACAAAGACCTGATCCTACCTCTGTTTGATGTTGACGATGAGAGAAATAAATTTATTACCTTTATCATAATGTTTAGAAGTAATTTTGCCATCAATGTCATTTTCTGTCTTAAAGTTTCCAAATATGAAGCAGAGATGTGAGGCTCCATGATGTGTATCTATTATTTCGAATTCACTGGAATATATCGAATCAATGCAGAATTCAAATTAAATATTTTTAATTAATAAAAATTTAAATGGACTTAAGGGATGGTCACTGTTTGTTACCTCCACATTTCAGGTGGTGAAATGGCAAGGCAGTTACTTGGGAAGATTTAAAAAAAATATTTGGGGAAAAATTACATCATCAGCTTTTACATGTTTAATTTTTTTCTGTCCAAGTGGTTTCTGATGTAAAAAAATTAATAAAATTGATTATTAATCTTGACAAACGACCGCTCTTCTTGTTTTTTAACATACACCTCTTGCTGGCTTGTCGGTACGTTTCTTCAATTCACTTTAGGAGTTTAAGAGGATTTTGAAAATGTAACAAGTAAAAAAGACGAAGAAAGCGAACAGTGATCAATATCTAAGAAGTCTATATAATCAATAGAAATATGGAAACAGGGAATAAAACACAGAACCCTGAAAATTCCAGAGGTAGGATCAGGTGGCCAGGAGTAGTAAGCATCCCCTGTTGACAAGTCTTACAACCACTGCCATGGGTCCCTTATATTGATCAGAAAGACTTTACTTAAAGGCAGATATTTTAAGCACCGCCTTCAAAAATACCTGGTCTGGGTAGCCCTGTCAATCATGTGTGTGAAGGTCCATCATTGGATGCTGGAACTTGATTGACACTTACTTACTGGTCCCTGTGTATACTCTGTACACCTTGTTTGGGACTCGTGGTGACCTTCTAATTAACTTTTGATCCTTTGATGTTTACTGAACATGGTATACAGAAACTGTATTGCTATGTAATTTTAGATTGATAATATATGAATTTAAAATATCTTTTGTATTTAAAAGGATTATAATATAATAAGCATTTTTTTAAAAAAATCCTTTGATACATGAAACCTTCTTTTTTTTCAAATGAAATTTGAATATCAATTTTAATATGCTAAACAGTAAACCTATAGATTGGAAATGTTATTGATAAGGTTTAGAGCAGCACTGTATGATGTAATTAAATTTAAAAATAATGTTTCTAATCATGGGTCACTTATATTTTCCTTTTTTATTCAGATAAGAATTTACAAGCAATCTTTTTTTTTAGCATGTTTCATGGTGACAAAGCCTTATTAAGTTTTTGAAATTCCTAGAAATTCTTTTTAGTGAAATGTAGTTAACATGGCTCCTTTTTCATTTAATAAATAGATGGGATTCTGGGGATGAATGAATTATTAAAGTCTAATTTGGTTGTCACAGGAGTTGTTTTTTTTTTTAAATTAACACGACGTACACTAACATCTTAAATAATCTTTGTTTTAATATTTGAATTTATAGTATGTAATCATAATAATTTCATGGGTAAGGGTGTATTCAAACAGTCAAAAATAGATAAATAATTGAAAAACCTTTTTACTACTAATTTAAAAATTTTCTCAAAATCCCTAACACAGGTAAAGTTTGACATCTGGGTATTTCACTGTGTATTAAATCATTTCCTGTGTATAGGGATTAGGAGACAGATGGCCACAGGTAGACTGCTAGCCCCCAAGGCATTCACACCTGTACAGAATAAGCCCCTCCCTCACCTGGAATTTACCACCCGGTAAAAAATCTCTGCCTTTAATCTACTCAATAAAAACAGAGGCTTGACAATTGGTATGAAGCAAGACAGCCAAGCATACGACCCAATGATATGTTACATTAGTTAAAAGAGCATTATAACGACATTACGAAATGCCGACTTTGAAGGAGGTTTTTCAATCCCAAACTTCAATTTACGTAAGTGAGTAGCACGCCTGGATTTAAAAAATGATCGTATTCAGCAAGCTCTTGGGTAACAAATAAGCTGAGGGACATAAATACCAAAGCAGGACAAAGCGGAATATCGCTGCATAAAAGAGGAAAGTGAACGATGGAAAAGCTGAAATTGTTTCGTCTTTTGTCGACAATAATCATCGTTTACCAGAAATTATATAAGACTCACAACAAGTGGACACTGGTTCTTCTTCATAAGAAAAACTATATTTAAGTTTTTGATTCAGTAAAAACACTGAAAATGTTATTAATCGCATGGGGGTACAACTGTGACATCGTGAGAAAGGTTATGGGAGTGTAAAAATCCAAAGCATAAGTTTATATTGAAGGAAGGTATTCACCCAATTCATCTGCAAGTCCAGTATGAGTGCAGAACGGGGTAGACCTATTACATGTATCTCTTTATAAAAACACATTAAAGAAATAGCTAACCCTGGCTTCAAACAAAATAAAAAAAAATCGTGGTTTTATAAGTTTCATTAGGAATGTCATGAAATCTAAAGCACCTTTTTACTGCATCTCGTAAAAGTTAGAAGAGAAATAAATTAATAGAGAAGCTAAAATACCACATAAATATGATTTTTTTTAATCGATTACCTTCATGAGTAAAATTTATGAAATTTTTACTTATATGGGGGAAAATGATACTACCAGGTTCGATACAATGACTTTATCGGCATATACAATTTTTTATTAAGGTTTCGTCAAAGGTCACTATGTCTAAAAAATTATTTTTACAATAGCTCCAAAACTGTGTGTGATATAAAGTCAAAACAGTTTATAAATATATCATTGATTAATAGATAAAAAGTATCACTTGATAACAAATATTTTTAAAAAAGATTTTTTTGGAGAAAAAATGTATCAGAAAATGTGCATATTAAAAAAAATGCACCTGCTTTATTCTGTCCTTTTTGTGAAAACCATCATTGCAAAAATAATATATGTTTATCATTGTAGGGCAAGTTGGACGTGAATGGTCTCTGAAAGGCTGTTATTGAAAGCATGACATGCATAAAGACAAGACCCCTATAGAATCCGCCATTTGCAATGTACTTTCACTTTCAAGTCTTAACATTTGGACAAAATAAACACGGAAAACAACTTTCCAGAGACTATCCAAGTCCAACTTGCTCTTCATTGATAAACATATTTTGTTTCTGCAATGATGGTTTTCACTAAGAGCACGGAATTAATTAAGTGTATTTTTTGAAAATATATGCATTTTTAAGATGAATTTTTCTCAATTAATATTTTTCCAAGTATTTTTTTTATCATCTGATACTTTCTATCTGTTAATCAATAAAATATTGATAAACTACAAAAGTTTTAACTTTATACCTCATATATTTTTGGGGCTATTGTAAAAATAAATTTTTGAACATGTTGACCTTTGACGAAACCTTAAGTCGAATGCTGACTGACGTTTTTCATACTTATGGTTAGGTCATTATTTGCTCAATGAATTGTCAACAGATTTTCCCGTTATTTTCCGATCATGATAAGGAGCTCACGGCAGGATGACTGGTCGGCCGGGGATGCTCAGCTCGATCCTCCCCCTACTTGTCGGATAATTATGTGGACTTGTTAGGTGTTCTTATTATCTTGTCACTTATTCACGTGTTTAAAATTTAACTTAAAAAGGTGACTTTGCACAGTTTAGGCCATCAGTTAACATATCTTTATGACAAGTCGGCATAAAGATCTGACAAGTTTTCATAATTTTCTGACAATTTGAAATATTATCTGACAAGTCAACATAATTTTCTGACAAGTCAAATAATATTCTCCAGGTCAACATTATTATCTGACAAGCCGATTTGTTAGAAAATCGTGTCACTGCTAAAAGGTCCTACGGTCTGAGTACAGCCCTTCATCGGCAAGTTCTGACGTTTAATATAAGAGAAAATTCCTAAATCAACACTAATTTAAGCAGTTATAGCATGTCTATGATACAAGATCGTGTGTTGTATGACACGAGACATTCTATGCAATCAATATGAGATTAGATATAACATAAAAATTCAAGGCAAGAAGGATAAAACAAAGTAATGTACTGAATATTAGATTGGACGTAACATAATATTTTTTTTCAGAACTAGACTAGACGTAACATTTTGCATTCAAATTACTATACATGTATATCAAATTTAGCCTTGAAAAGTATGCACTAAATTCAAATTACAATGCATTGACTGCAAACGTTAATAATGTTTTATCCACAACATATACATAAACCATTTCTGAGTACTTGTTTATTTTTTACTTGTTCTCAAAATAAGAGACATTAAGAAATAAGTCTATCGAAAATATGATAAAAGTATAACTGTACATGCTTTTGATTTTTAATGTCATAGAAAAAAGTACATCTTGAACAAATTCAATGCAATTTTACAGTTGCACAACCTAATAAATGCAAATCAATCGCTTTCTTTAACCAATTTTGTAAAAAAACATTTTATTTATATCTTTTTTTTCAAGAACAAAAAATGCATGCAGAAAAGGATAATAATTTACATGTCTTCGTGCAGAATTGTGCTTCATCTGCTAAAGAGGTTGAAGAAATCACTGAAAATAATTTAAAAAAAAAACTAGTATAGAGATTGTAATGGAAGACTAATAAACTGTTGAAGTGAGTGTACAACATCTAGAAAGGAAACATACCTCACAAAACCTTTTCCTTGGTCATTCCGAGTAGCATTGTCACTTGCAATATCTGAAACGAAAATGACTTCAACTTGCTAAAGGTAGAAGATCATTGATCTATTGAAATACAAGACAAACTTCTGATGATCTTTGTAAAACTTAATAATCATATCGCACGAAAAAATGTATTCAGTGTTTGATAGTTCACATTCTTGAAACTTCATCAGAATGTTTGAAAATATTTATGAGTCAAGTAAAAACCTTGTACATTTGCAGGACAGTTTCATTGAATCAAATGGTAAAAAATGAAATAGCTTTCTTGAAAATCGAAGGAATGGTTTTGAAAAGTAAGTTTTGTACATGAAGAATATCGACCTCCATTTGGTCATACATATGGCATGATTGATTATTGCATAAAATTTGAGAAATTTTGAGGATCAAGATATGAAAACGTCATTTCTTCGTTTCCATTTTGTTAACAAGATGAAAATAAAATTCTGTAATCTATTTACCATCTACAGGACATCAACTAAAAGAATACTTGGTAACGAAAAAGAAAGCGAGACAAGATCAGATCAGTTAAATAACTACACGCTGTCATCTAAATTGATACCCGCAGTTTTCAATAGTTTGTTATTTCAAAAGAAGTAACATATATGTACTTGTGTTTTAAGTACATGTATATAAAAAGCTTTATAAACCAATACACAGCGGGTTCTCTGAAACGTTCTGTCAAGCCTCTTTCTTGACTCTTCATCTGACATTAACAACAATCAGTGAAAAAAAAAACTTCGGGAGTACCATATAAAACATATTCCAAAAATAGCACTAATTAGACGTGGACAGATACAAAAAGGTAGCCCAAGGGCATAGAGGTCTACAGTGGTATAAAGGAAAAAATTATTGGATCCATAGAGTATAATATTTCTTGCATTTGCACCTCTTAATAAACGTAATATATTTTACCTCAAGTTCGCCAGGATATATCGTATTGACATAAGAATGGAAATTACCATTGTTACTGACAATACCTCGTCGATATATCTAAATGTCGAGTTGAAGGCCACAGCAGAGTTGAAGGCCTTTTTAAAATTAGATACGCTGGCAACGGGGTGCAACTTTTCAATTACAAAAAAACTTTACATGGCTTGGATACCGAGTATCTGAAACATAATCCTCTATCATGTTCATGTTCTTCTTCGCCCTCTAACTATAGTCATGCTGGACACTTTATTACAGGTGACGTAAATATAGTTAATAATGAGGAGCTCAGATCACTTATTTTAAAAAAGTCTTAAATAAAGGGAACCCCGATCCCTCAACTGGCGTCACAATTTCAAAAATATTATGTTTTCTGTTGAAAATTACGCCATGGGTCAGATATGAAAAAGAAGACGTTGACACTTTGTCAGAATGGATAAAATGTATCAGATCCATGTTAAAGTCGCTTATTAAAGAAGTGGTAATCCTACTTATACTCATACTTCCCTTTCTAAGGAAGAAATTCTTCAAAATCATGTCAGTTTTGATTATTTTTAATATTCCACAGAGCCAAAATGAATTTGAACTTCCCGATATACATTGGATTCCGAAACTTCATAAGAATCCTTACAAACAAAAATACATTGCGGGTTCCAGTAATTGTGTAACTAAACCTCTTTCGTTACTAGTACTCCTCACTAAGATACTGAGAAAACTTCAAGAGTACTGTTCAACAATATATTCAAAGAAGTGGTGTGAATTAGATGTGGATACTAAAAAATTCCAAAGAACTTTTGGACAATTTGAAATCACAAGATTTTACCAAAATCAACAGCTTAAAAACTTACGACTTTTGTGTGGAGAGAAAGACAGTTTTGCTTTTCAAACAGTTCTACTCTGAATTTTCTGGATCATAGTTTATAGTCAAATATGGTTAAAGAATGGTTAAAGATTGCCACTTTTCTTAAGTATTAATTTGTGAAAGTGCAAGGATGTGTCAATCAAACCAATCCAAAAATTTAAATTTTTAATAAATTTTAGATGAAATACGATTTTTTTAATACATTTTCTTGTGAAATGCTATTACAACATATAATTCGTGATATCATACAGAAAAAATTAACTTCAAATCTGTGTCTATGCACCTTTTAAGCTTTGGGTATTTCTATGCCATAATGATAAGACGTCTTAGTTTAGGATAATCATAAGATAGCTTTGAAAAACAACTTACGATAATCTTACGATGATCTTAAAATTTTCCTAAGATATGTCTTAGGAAATTTCTTATGAACAATCTTAAGAAGTTTTCGTAAACATGCCTGCTGGTCATTGGTCATTTGCAAAATTATTTTGTTAAAACATATTCTGATTGCACACAAAAGTACTCTGAAGTTGACATCAAAAAGATGCTTAAGTTTCTGATTGACAATATCTATGTGGTTTTTGGAGACAAGGTCTTTCAACAATCTATTGAAATACCCACTGGTATCAATTGTGCTCCGTTATTAGCAGACCTATTTTTGTGTTCATATGAAGCAGAATTTGTGCAAATTCTTATGCGTGAAAAGAAGAAAACACTTGCTGTGGCCATCAGCTCGACATTTAGATATATCGACGACGTATTGTCAATTAACAATTGTAATTTCCATTCCTACGTCGATACGATATATCCTGGAGAGCTTGAGGTAAAAGATACGACAGAGTTTGACACATCTTTTCATACTTGGATATTTTACTTGAAAAAGACGTTAATGGTAATCTAACAACCAAGCTATATGATAAACGTGATAAACGTAACTTTTCTATCCCTTACTTATGCAGCAATATACCTTCATCACCTGCATACGGAGTGTATATATCTCAATTGATTCGATACGCAAGAGCATTTTCTACGTATGAACAATTTCAAAAAAAGAGGCAAATTATTGACAAGCAAGTTGATGAAAAAAGAATATCAGCACTCTCGTTTAAAGTCGTCATTTTGTAAGTTCTATGGTCGATACAATGACCTTGTCAGAAAATACAATTTATCATTGAGTTAAATGCTGACTGACGTTTTTCATACTAATTGTTGGTCCATTATTTATACATTGAATTGACGACGGATTTTTCTGTTATTACCCGATCATGACAAGGAGCACATTGCTGGTGTGACCGGTCAGCAGGGGATGCTAACTCCTCCATGACACCTGATCCCACCTCTGATGTTTCGGAGGTCCGTGTTTGCTCGGCTCCTATTTTGTATTGTTTTATGGACTTTTGAGCTTAAATAATGTTCGTTATCTCCATATCCTTTTAGTCTCCATGGAAATTCCAACAGATTGTTGGAAGACCTGGTCTCCAAAACCGACAAAGATATTGTTATAATCTTTTATCGATGGGGAAATGATATATTGTCTGTCGTCGTCGTCCTTGGTTGTTTTAAACTTTGCACAATTTCATCTTCTCCAGAAGTACTGGGCAAATTTCAACAAAACTTTGCACAGTGTATTTTGGGTGAAGTGGATTCAAGTTTGTTCAAATGAAGGGCTACACTCTCTTGCAAGGAAGGAAAATTACAAAATCGCAAAAATTAATGGTATCATTGAAAAATCTTCTCCTCAAGAACTAAGTAGCAAGGAAAGATGAAACTCATATGGAATCATTGTCAAGTGGTATAGATTCAAGTTTAATTTGCTCAAATCATGACCCCCCAGGGTTAGTGTGGGACAACAATGGACGACAAAAGTTTTACATACGAATATATAGGAAAAATCTTCTTTTCAAGAACAGCAAAGCTATGATTCGTCATATTATATTTATAAAAAAAAACATTCTCAGGTGATGTAGATTCAGTTTGTTCAAATCATGACCCATGGAGTAGGATAGAGCCACAATGGATTTTACATTGAAATATACAGCTGTACAAGAAAAATCTTAAAAATGTTCTTCTCAAGAACAGCATATCAATGGTTGGTCATATTCAAGGAGCATCCTCAGATAGTGTAGATTCATGTTTGTTCAAATCATGAACCCCAGGGGTAGGTTCGGGCCACAATGAAAGTTCAAACTTGTAGGAAAAAGTCAGGCAAAAAATATGTTAAAAACCTTATATCAATGATATAGAGGATTTCAAATGTGTATTATTGTTTTATAGGACGAACTAAGCCCATCATCGAGACTTGAAACCAAGAGGCATTGAGTTTTGTGATATAAGAAGATAAAAACATGTACTCAAATTACTAAGTCTTTGTCTTTTGCATTATCATATAGAATATTTCAAAACATTTACATAAGACGTATCATGAAAAAAGATACCTTCAATGTTTCTTTGTGCATACTCTTCAAGGAGTTCAGTACCATTTGTTCGTTTTTGCATTTTTCGAAAATATTTTTTTCTTTCAAAATGAGAGATATCTCTCTAGCATAGAGAGATATCTCTTTAGCTTATGGAGATATCTCTTTAGCTTATAGAGATATCTCTTTGACTAATAGAGATATCTTTAATCTTTAGAGAGATATCTCTTTCAACAAAAGAGATATCTCTTTTTGAAAGAGAGATATCTCTTTTTGTAAGAGAGATATCTTCATAAGCTAGAGAGATATCTCTTTAAGCGAGAGAGATATCTCTAAAAGTTAGAGAGATATCTCTTTTACAAGTTTAAAAGAGATATCTCTCTTAATTAGAGAGATATCTCTTTAGATTTTCAAAAAGAGATATCTTTCTAAGCTAAAGAGATATCTCTTTTAATGAAAGAGATATCTCTTTTCCAATCACCCTTAAAATAAAATAATTAATTCTCCCGTTAAAAACGAAAGCGAAACAGGAAGTAATGTCTGTTAAGTCGTTCGTTTTCTGATTATTGAAAAGAAGAGGATAAAATGGACTGATTGATACAGGTAAACAACGTTTAATTGCTTTATTGTTTTAAGCGGAAGTAACAGGATTTCAAATCAAAACGTTCCCCAATGATTGGTTCCATATTATATTTATGTCATTTATTTAGCTCACAGGACAGCTGAGGTGGGTATATATGCAAAGTCAATAAAAACAAATAGGAAATACATGTACCCAAATTCATCGATCACGGGAATACATGGTTGATTACTACGTCGATTAAACATAATCCTGATAGAATTAATGTTCTTTTTTAATTAATTATTTAGTAATCCAAAAATAAAAACGTCCAACATTACTTCTTTCATGTACACAGGGATGTATACATTAACTGTAGGACGTAGGGGGGGGGGGGGGGGGGGGGCAGCCAGAGAAATTTTTTTTAACTTACCTGAAAAAGTTGACAAGCAAAGATAAAAAGGGGGGGGGAGTTGCCCGAAGTCGAAAATTCAGTGCCAGTTCTAATACTACATTTTCGGTACATCGCTAAAAGTCTAAAAGGGGGGGGGGACCAGGCTTTCAATTTACTTTTCCTATAGTATAAGTTAGGTTGGGAAAAAAAGTGGGGGGGGGGGGCAGCCCCCCCCCCCCTTTGCTACGCCCTGCGTTAAACAACTTACATGTACGATCAATATATTAACTGTAAAGCCTTATGACCCTCTTCCCAAACACAGGCACCTGAAGTCTGGATAATACCCCCCCTTTTTTATATTTTTAAAAAGAAAAAGGTGGAGGGTATTATCCATACTTCAGGTGCCTGTGTTCCCAAATACTCTTACAGTTATGAAAAAGACATTTTATTTCCTTAAAATAGGCATTAGAAATAGGAAATTTCTTATTTGTCATAGCTAGAACAATCCCCAATTTATCCAATGGTGTCACCCGACAGGTCCACACTGGGTCCATAGGACATTCATCATACAATGGTAGAACATTTTATCTACATTTGTCATTATATTTTACAGGGATCCAGGAGGTACTGAAAAAGGGACAATGCTTTGACTGGATGTGTCATCCATGTACCAGTATAGATCTGTTAATGAGGCATATCCAATAATTCTTATACTCATGAAGAGTGTGGCAACTTCCACGTAGTTAATGATGGCACTCATTTTAAATCAGGTACAGGATAAATTTTTGGGCTGCACTTTTCTTTACTTCAATATTTCAAACTTACTAGTTTAGTTTCAAGTCCACAAAAGCTCAAACAGCATGGTAAATCAATGGACCATAATGCTAGTGAAATTTGTCATGTATATGCTTTCTTATTGAATTATCAATTTGAAATTTGATTGGTAAAAAAATTTATTAACAAGTACAATTCTTCTACTGTGTGCCTGTCATTAAATCCCAACGATTGCAAATGCACATTGATAGGTTCTCCATAAAAATTGCTAACTGTGCAGTGTTTGCACATTTTTTTTTTCAATGAACATTTTCTTAACATTGAATCCTTCAGTATAACAAAACAAATATTGCATGCTTATTTTCATACACTATAAATAAACTTAAGAACAAATTTAAGGAAGTTTAATTTGTGTATTTGGTAGTTACATGCGTAAATAGTTTTATATATAAAGGATGTACACAAGCATTTTATAATTGAAAATATTCAAGAAAGTATTCACTTAATTTCTTGTAGATGCTCACTTCTAGGATGTTTTCCATGTTCTTGTGAAAAGTGTTTTACATGGCACCATTCAGCTACAAATACTTTACCGATGGAACTGTGACATCAATCAACTGCTCATGCCACTGCGGACTGGCAGAATTTCCTTTGGGACAAGCAAACTGTTTCAAATATTTTACACCAGCAAGTTAGTACTTATGAAATTTTGTTTGAAGGAAGCTAAAAGCTAATGAGTTCCGAAAATACAAGCCAGATGAAGTACAAAAGTGTTGATACAAGTCATTTAGAATTTTAATTTCTTTGCAGGTAGTGATGAGTGTACTGGAAGTTTTTTCGGGATCTTGTCCAACATCATAGATACAACTGGTCACTGTGCTTTCTTGGTTATATAAGCAGGCATATTGCTAAAGCGGTGTCATATGTAGCTTCAAATGATGCTTGACTGTTAAAGTGTTTTTCTTCAATTTATAAGTAAACCACGATTGATCTCTGATGCAGTAATATAAAGCCATGTCCATTCTTTAATATTCCATCATCCCACTGTCACAAAGAACTGAAATAAAAATGATTTTGATTTTAAAAATATTTTTAGTTTTTATATGTAACATAAAATTCTACAGAAATTCAAATATTAAAACTACTTCAAAACAAGATGTGTTTGTGAAACACTATGCACCAGGCAGCAACAAATTCAAACAAGTTTTTTTTTAGCATATAGGTCACAGTCAAGGTCACAAGGTCATTGACCTTGGTGTCTTTTGAAAGAATTTAATTAGTGGAGTATGCAAATCAAATATGAAGTCTTTAATGGTTCAAAAGGTATGGCAAAAGTTCAAAATGGTATTTATAGCATTAAAGTCACAGTAAAGGTCACAAGTTCACTGGCCTTGGTGTCATTTGAAAAAGTTTAATTAGTGTAGAAGGCATTCCAAATATGATATCTCTATCTTTAATGATTCAAAAGTTATGGCGAAAGTTTAAAAAAAAAGCTATTTTTAGCATATAGGTCACAGTCAAGGTCACAAGGTCATTGACCTTGGTGTCTTTTGAAAGAATTTAATTAGTGGAGTAGGCATATTATATATGAAGTCTGTATCTCTCAAAAGTTAAGGTGGAGGTTAAAGTTGACATTGAAAAAGATTACAAAATATCCAAAAGAACTGTTTTACTTGGTAATATAGAAAGAAGTTGTTTAGAAAATTTTCTTTTATTAGTTGCAAAAAATTTTACTTACTATTCAAGATCACCAGATAGTAAGCCATTATTTATTGATGCAGTAAAGTTATATAAGTATTACAGAAACATAGAAAATTGTTGTGAAAAATTTTTAATGTAAGGACAAAATACTCAGTAAATGGGTCCTGTATGATAATGTGTACAACAAGTGATGAAAAAATCAAAATTGTAATTTTTGTTAATTTATATCTACACATTTTGGTACACCTGTTTTGTTTTTGGATAAATTGTCATATGTTTACATATATGTACATTTATTATGCCCCCCCCCCTTCGAAGAAAGGGGGCATATTGCTTTGCTGCTGTCTGTCAGTCCATTTAGTTTCCATTCATTTTCTTCACAACCATTGCCACTGAAATGAATTTGATATACAGGTATATCAGATGAATATCTAGGTCAAGTTCTGTTTTGGGTACGATCATCGTGCAATTTTTGACAGAGTTATGCCCTTTGGATTTAGAAAAATTCCAATTACTTGCAGTTTCCGTTCATTTCCTTTCCGTTCATTTCCTTTGCAGAGGTTGCACATAGTGAAATGCAATTTAGTATACAGATTTATCAGATGAATATCTAGGTCAAGTTCTCTTTTGGGTATGATCGCACCATTTTTGACCGAGTTATGCCTTTTTGGACTTAGATAAAAAATTCCAATATGGGGGGAGGGGCATAAGTGTTTAACAAACAGCTCGTTATTTTTAAGCTTAGAAAGTGCACTGTGTGAGTGTGTGCAATTGTGATGTTGAGTGGGTGAAAATTGTCTTGTGTTTGTACAGTGTATAGTGTATATATATGGATATGGAAAAAGCTTCAAAATAAAGCATTAAAAAAAAAGTTTTGGAAAGTATGGCAATCATATACCAGTACTCAGAAATGCTAAATAAAAGGCTTCGTAGAAGAAAAAAAATAATTAAAACTACCAATCAAATAAGTATTAAATGTAAATCTTTTAAGATGAAGGTTTTGCTTTGTCAGATTCTTTGCTTATAGGGAGACTTGCCTTTTAATAATGTCATGACAGGTGAGGCACATGGCTGGTCTTCATGCTGGATCAGTTCTTAATTAAAACCATCCAGTATTGTCCCAAGATTGCCAGATGTACAGACAAAAACCTGTAATTTAGCAAGCTTCTGTAACATGTAATTTGAATTATTACATAGGCCATAGTTGTATGTGCAACTGATAATAATGTAGGACTAAGGACAGTAAGGTGCCTGACAAATAATGAGTTATAAATCTTACAAATATCCATTCATTTGATACAAATCTTAACTTTCTTCATTAAATTTTATCAATGATTTTACAAGAAAATCAGAATAAAAATTGTCCTTTTTATACACAAAAAATATTTGTTGCATTTTCATATTTAGGGCACCCTTCCAAGGCCAACAATAAAAAAATGATTTGTTTGATGTACTCTGACCGACCTTTTAAAATAGCCCCTACCCATTTGCAATCATTTTTGGGGGGCACTTAAAAATTTTTAACCCCCCCCTTAATTTCCATAGATGTTTTCTTAAAGATAAGGTGTCATATTTTTTTTAGGATGCTTTTTAATTTATAAATAAAAAGTCTTTCTAATTAAATGAAAACATTAACAGATTTCTGAGTCTGTGGCTTTAAATATGACAGCTATCAATTTATTCAATACTGTAAGGCATAAAAAAACTAGAAATATGTCCACAGGACAGGAATGCCCGCCGAGTATATTAGTAATGCAACATGAAAATTCGTATGAAATTTGATCAGTATATCTTGAAAAGTAATACAGTTGAATTGCTTACATCATTATGTATCAGCATATAAAGTTTAACACTAATTTCAGAGATGTGAGGTCAAGGTCATGTTGATGCAGTTGAATTGCTTACATCAGAATGTATCACCATATGAAATTTGACACTAATTTAGGAAAATTGAGGTCAAGATCAAAAGAAATGCTAAGGTCAAAAAATGTTTGAAACATTTCAGTTGAAAAGCTCTCATCAGTATGGTAAGTTTGATTCAGAAAATCTCGTTTAGTACGAACCCAGATATTGCGAATTCACAGGTATAGCGAAGTCATCTTGGATTCCTAGCTATAAAAATTCAATTAATTTCTTATATGATTATAACAAATTACGGATATAGCGAAGTAATTTCATAGGTCCCAGCAACTTCATTATAACCGAGTTTTGCTGTAACACCATCTTGAATGGTATGTTTAAAACTGAGCTAAAAACAAATTTAAGAAAAGGGTGGTCAAGGTCAAAGGAAAGGTCAAGGATAAAAAATGTTGATGCAGTTGCATAGCTCTTATCAATATCTATCAGCAAAGTTTGATGAAATATCCTGTATAGTTTCTTTGAAACTGGGCTTTGAACTGAGCTAAAAGCAAAGTGTGACGGAAGGACTGAAAGACCGAAGACAGACATGACAAACACTAAATGCCCAGGCCATAATCTTGGCAGGGCATAAAAAAACTACCGGTACCAGCCGACCTACCTACCAACCTTGATAAAAGTGGGTAGGAGTACATCAAACAAATATATTTTTAAAGATGGCCAATGTTGACAAGTATATTAGTCATTTGATATATGCTATGTCTTATTAAAAATAAATTTTATATTTGTCTTAGAACTTATTTTGTTTCATCAATTTCATACCTGTATTCGATTTGCATTGTTTTGGATGCTGATAATACAAAGTCAGTTTAGTCTTAGGTGCTGCCGACTTTGGATCTCTTAGGAACTGCATCTTTTATCTGTCACGTACTGGTTCTCTTGTATCTCCACTATAAAATAAGTTTTAGTGTATACAGTTGTGTAATATCAGTGAATAAATTAAACAGACAGATTGATTGATTGTATATTGTTTATCGTTCCTCTCAAGAATTTTTCACTCATATGGAAACACCAGTGGAGAGCTGCAAATTCTGTCCTAATGACCTATACTCAGCACTCAGGGCCATTGACTGATTGAGCAGGAAGGGATCTTTTTTAGTGCCAACACCTGTTCTACTGCGACAAGGGGCCACAATTATCTGTATCATCCCAAGGACAGGTCTCCACATCCCACAGTGAGATTCAAACTCATGATGTAAGGATCAATTCCTTATTTCGCGACTCTAGAGCAGACACTCTGTAACCATTGTGCCATGCAGGCGAATTTGAACAGAGAGAAAAATTGACCAAAATCCATAAACCATGTTCTTTAAACAGGGAACATACTCTCTAAAGGGAGAAATATGGTCATCTGAATTTTATGCAGAAAGATGGCAAAATATATGAACATCTTATCCTTGTGAAATAGATCTAAATTGCTACAAACATTTAATGCTCAAAAAAAAATAATCCAGATACAAAGCAGGTTAAAATTTACTTTAAAAGGTATATTAAAACAGGGACCTATATACTAATAGTATATAGGTCCCTGATTAAAAAAAATTACCCAAACAAAAGTGATGCAGCCACAATATCATAAATATGACGTTGGTACCCATCCATGACACAAAACTCCTCCTCTTTAATCAGCTGATAATAACATCTCGGATTCAGGAGAAATCTGTTAAAACATTAAGGCAAAAGATAATTTCGAAACTATTCATTCGGTTAAGAATAAAACACTTCATTTTCCCTCAAAATAAACAAGAAACGGATGACACTCTCTGATTTGTTTACCTGTATTTCGATCGAAATATTCCTGGTGGACGCTCGCACCTAATTTTTTATGACATGAAATTCATCCATCGTAAGTCGGAAAACCCTTCGGCCTTGTAAAACTATTTAATTTCCCCCCGAAAGCTTTGTGGATACACAAAACCACCCGGAAGTGAAAATTATCGTAAAATCTCGCGAGTCACGTGACGAGACTTACAGACTCTGGACCGAATTTTCTCAGCTTTTGAAATAATGAATATAAAGTTTACTTCCGGTAAAGGGAGAAGTCATTTTAAATGGAATTTAAATAAACATAATGAAGAAAGATATCTCTTTGCATTTAAGAGATATCTCTTTTTGCTTCAGAGATATCTCTTTTAGACCCTTTTGAAAGATATCTCTTTCACTTTGAGAGATATCTCTTAAGATAAACTTAGAGAGATATCTCTTTTACTTTAAGAGATATCTCTTTAAATTGGAAAGATATCTCTCTAAGTGAAAGAGATATCTCTCTAGGTAGAAGAGATATCTCTCTAGTTGAAAGAGATATCTCTTTAACGATTAGAGATATCTCTTTAACGTTCAGAGATATCTCTTATCACGAAAGAGATATCTCTCGAGGAGAAAGAGATGTCTCTCAAAGAAAAAGAGATATCTCTCTAAGTATAAGAGATATCTCTCTAACTTTAAGAGATATCTCTTTCTTATAGAGATATCTCTTAAGAATAAGAGATATCTCTTAAAGTTGAGAGATATCTCTATTTTTTAAGAGATATCTCTCTAAAATGAGAGATATCTCTGTAATTTTAAGATAAAATTTATTTTCCGAATAAATAGTAAAAGGGCTTGCCATATATTTACGCAACAATTTCCTTTTTCTTCTGAATTTCAATATACAGATCAATATACAGATCACCAATATTCCCCCAACAAAACCTCCTGCGCCAGACAAACTACCGATAAGTATCCTACAATTTAACGAAAAGTATCGCAAGCCCTTTTACTATTTATTCGTAAAATAATTTTTTCTTTCAAAATGAGAGATATCTCTCTAGCAAAGAGAGATATCTCTTTAGCTTATGGAGATATCTCTTTAGCTTATAGAGATATCTCTTTGACTAATAGAGATATCTCTTTAAACAAAAGAGATATCTCTTCAAACAAAAGAGATATCTCTTTTTGAAAGAGAGATATCTCTTTTTGTAAGAGAGATATCTTTATAAGCTAGAGAGATATCTCTTTAAGCGAGAGATATCTCTAAAAGTTAGAAAGATATCTCTTTAACAAGTTTAAAAGAGATATCTCTCTTACTTAGAGTGATATCTCTTTAGATTTTCAAAAAGAGATATCTTTCTAAGCTAAAGAGATATCTCTTTTAATGAAAGAGATATCTCTTTTCCA